CTTATTCTCCAACTGATGACCAGCTTCTCTTATAATACCCACTGCCCAATCTTGTATACAAAGCAGGTGCCAGCTGAGCACTGAAGATGAAGGAATCAACAGCCATCTTGACTAAACAAAAAGACAGACTGTAAATATTCACCCAATTTCCACATACTGTGGGCAAATTGCTGGAGTGTTGAAGCATTCCACTTCTGCACTGAGAAAGATTTGGACAATTGGTGCCACAATGAAAACAAAGTTCAGTAATGGGATGCTTGACATTAAAATTTGTAATGTGAATAAGCGCTAGCCTTTCTTCATAGCCTGAAGAAACCAGAGCTAACTCTTAATACATATACATCTAAATTTGGTTATAATCCCCTCACTTCAACATGTATTGGATGGCCCGTGCGGTCTCTTCCAACTCTATGATTCTATGATTCTATTTATGAAGTATTTCCTTTTGCCCATGATCTCTATTTTTTATTCACAGAATTTTAGAGCTAACAGACATGACATACCACATCTTACATATCAATCAATAAAAAGTTAAATTTTGTAGATACTACCTTTTACTAAAAAGAAATAATTGATGTTTCAAAGAAAACACAATAGATAAGATCTCAATAAAGTAAAAACGGGCTCTGCTAAAATTAGTTATCTTGTTCCTCTGAAGTACGGAGGTAGTTCAGTTGCACCCAAAACCTTTAAGCCACACAACACAATTACACAGCAGGCATCGACCCATGTCTATAGAAAATGACAGCCCGTATAATGGATGAACAACTGTTTTGGCACAATATAAGGAGGTATCTCTTGTCTTGTCCTAGAACACAGCATGATGTACACAAAAGGCTCCTCCTGTCTATCAAAAGAATCAAAACTTCATTCCTGACAGTTCAGGAAAGCGGTCCACACTAGGTCTAGTAAAACCTTAAGACTTATGACTTATGACAAAGCTTTTTAGAAGGTGAACTATAACTTAATCTCCCCTCCCCCCAATCTCAGCTCTTTCTCTCCTACTAGGGTCATGAATTTGTTCATTGATCATTTTAATCAGGGAAAAAAGAACTCTTGGAAGGAAGACTCAAGAACAGCCGCAGATGTGAAAGCTGATCTTCTGATCATGAGCTATTTTTCCATCATGCTGAAGATAGTTTATTAACCCTTCCCTTAGTCTGCTCCTCCAGGTCACAAACCAGTATCATTGCTATTAAGAAAGATCACACACCAATTCTTCTGCCACCCTCTTGAACTAAACTCATACAGCCAACTAACACCCTTCACAAGTAGTTTTCCACATCTTCTAAGGCAGCCTATACTTACCCCACCAGCTCTGCTTATAAACGGGGATGTCTGACTTCCCCCTTCACACCCCAACTTTAGGGCACCAAAACCGGGTAGAGGTGAAGAATGTACCTACATAAGATCCATTATATGGTGTCTGTAAACATATATATATATATATATATATATACACACACACACACACACACGGAAACAGGTGCACTTTCCACTCCACTTCTGAGTGAATCTGTTCAAGAACAGATAGGAGAGTACTGAACTAATATTCAGAAGCGAGAAGTCACCCACCCTCATATTCTACATTTCAAGCATCCACTGTTTACACAAGACTTCCAAAGCGTTCACTTTTGGTTCCTTTCTCAAGTCTTCACTTTTTAATTACAACACTTTGGTTCCTTTCTCAAGTCTTCACTTTTTAAGCTAATGTAACAATAATTCCCTTTCCACGTTTAAATCTTTTGAATCATCTAACAAGACCTGGTTCTTAAAAAGACACAGAGATAAAAGGATTATTTTAAGGGGTGGGGGAGAAATAAAAGCAAGAGTAAGCAATAAATTGAGCCAGTTGAGCCAGAGTAGCATAGTGTGGTCTAAGTGTTGGACTATGACTCTGGAGACCCGGGTTTGATTCCCAGCTTAGCCATGAAACCCACTGGGTGACCTTGGCCAAGTCACTCACTCTCAGCCTCAGAGGATGGCCATAGCAAACCTCTTCTGAAGAAATCTTGCCAAGAAAAACCCATGACAGGTTTGCCTTAGGGTAACCATAAGTCAAAAATGACTTGAAGGCACACAACGACAACATCCAAGACCTGATTCATATTGGTCCAAAGATAAAAGGGGTATTTTAAAGATGGGAGGGAGCACATACAAACAAGAGCCAGAGTGGGTAGTGGTTTGAGTGATGGATGACGACTCTGGAGACAAGGGTTCGATTCCCAGCTTGGCCATAAAAGCTATTGGGTGACCTTGGGCAAGTCACATGCTCTCAGCCTCAGAGGAAGGCAATGACAAACATCCTCTTAAGAAATCTTGCCAAGAAAACCCCATCAGAGGTTTGCCTTAGTGTCACCATAAGTCAAAAATGACTTAAAGGCACACAACACACACACACACATGCATTTTAATTTATCCTCACACCTCTTTACATCACTGTTCCAAAATGAAGGCGCCAACACCTGTACTACATTCATCAAAAGGTCTCAACTCTTTCACCAGTGCCTTTTGGGTGCAGGTCTGTCCTGCAGAATCAGGCTGGTAGTGTGTGTGTTAGCAACAAAGGAAAGAAGACACACAACAAGCAACACAAGCCTTTGGGTACAACCGGGTTGCCACACATGCATTCATACATGCTTCAGCACCTGCTGCTCAAGTTGCCACACATGCATTCATACATGCTTCAGCACCTGCTGCTCAACATCAAACTATTTACAACCAGTTGCTTCGGGGGTTTGTCCCTTTCCCCAGCTTTCCCTGAAGGTTGTGGGAGACTTAGTACTGAGAGCCTTGCAATGCAAAGGGCGTCAGCCAGCTACACAAGGGCACCAGTCTGTCTTCTCCCCCCCCCCAAAAAAAAAACCCCAGAAGCCCCAGACCCAGAGGAGGCCGAGGGGGCGAGCAAAGGCTGCCTTTACACACACACACACACACACACAGCCCTCCCTGCCCATCACAGCAGCTCCCAGAATGCTGGACGTAACAACTCCGAGTGGAATCCCAACAGCCCCAACTCCCAGCAACAGAGACCACAACAAACCACACAACAAGGCGGTAGGCCCAGCACTCACAAAACACACTCACACACACACACAGGCTTTGCTTGCTTGCTTGGATGCTTACATACATGCAAGCCAAGCGGAGGAGCGTTTCCCACAAAAGTGAGGAAGAGGTGCAAAAGTCAAGGACACACACACACACTCGTCCCTCCACTTGTGTATGTGTGTGAGTGTGAAGAGTCACCCACCCGTGAAAACGCCCACAGCTCCGCTCCTGGGCTACACCTACATAATGCAATAAATGGAAAAAGTCTGGACTTTGGTTGTTGTTTGTGTGTGTTGTGAGGAAGAGCTCTTTGCGTGTTGTGTGCCTCTTACTTCCTTTACCTCCCCTCCACCCCGCATTGGTCAGCTTCCACTGAGTTTTGGGGTCCTCATGTTACGGAATACACGTGAAGTGAAAGGGGGAAGGGACACACAACACGCAACGGACCCTTCCTCACGACACAAAAAACACACACAACTGTTGTCGGAGTCCCTCAAGTGTTTCTCCCCCGACGTTAGGTGACGGGGTCATGAGGGCGAAGGGAGAGGGCCACAAAACACGCAACAGGCCCTTCCTTCCTTCCTTCCTCACGACGCGAAACACCCGTGTCCAAAGCTTTCCTCCCGAAGTCTCCCTCCTCAACTCTTCTCCTTCATCCCTCTCCTATTATTTATTCTCTTTCGAAGGGAGAAACGAAACGGGCACAAGAACTCGCGGAGGACCCTTCCTCACAACACCAAACACCCACAAACACACCCACAACCCTTTCTTCTCAGTTTCCAAG